AGCTCTTGGGCCGTCTTGGGCCAATCTCGGGCGTCTTGGCCGGATCATTGCGCGTCTCGGGGCCCTCTTGGGCCGCCTTCGGGGCATCTTGAGCGGGCCAGAGCCGTCTTTGAGCGGCTCGAAACCGTCTGGGTGCCCTCGGGGCGGCCTCCGGAGCGTCTCGGAGCCGTTTCCGGGCATTTGGCGCTGTTTCCTTCCGGCACGCGGTTCCTCCGGCCATATAGTATAGATGACGTCGGGCCTCACGCTCGCCTCCGACATCTCGTCGAGCAACACTGACGCCCGCTGCCACTGCTCGCCTTTCTCGCACGCGCTGATCCCAGCGTTGTAACAGACTAGGGCAGACCTGTGGACTCCGTCCACGACATCAGCTCGACGCGGCCAGTTGAAGGCGCTCTCCACACCCTCCAGGACCTCCTGCTCTCCTGTGTTCCTCAGCTGCTGCTGCTGCTGCTGCTGCTGCTGCTGCTGCTGCTGCTGCTGCTGCTGCTGCTCGGAGGTCCTGCTGCTTCCTCCCCTTCCTCCTCCTCCTCCTCCTCCTCCTCCGCCTCCTCCTCCTCCTCCTCCTCCTCCTCTTCCACCTTCTTCTCCTCTTTCGCTGGATTCTCCATGCCCTCGGTCGGCAATCGTCGATCCTACGACGACTCTCCCCAACAGAGAAACATCGAAGGCCCTCGGAGCGTCCAACATTGTTCTTTTGTGCCTTCGATATGCCGGTCGCCTCTCGTCCGCTCCCCCCCTCCTGGAAGCAATTCTGAGGCCACTTAGGGCTTCGTGGGGGCCGTTTGGGGATCTCTTGGGGCGTTTTTGCCTGCGATATGCCTGTCGCCTCTCGTCCGCTCCCCCGCTCCTGGAGGGAATTCTGAAGGCACTGAAGGCTTCGTGGGGGCCGTTTCGGAGCCTCTTCGGCCTTCGTTTGGGCCTCCCGGGGGGGCTCTTAGGGCCCTCTCGGGCCGTCTTGGGTGCCTCTTGGGCCGTCTTGGGGCCGTCTGAGACCCGCCTCGGCGCCTCTTGGGCTGTCGTGGGCCGTCTTGGGCCGCTCCTGGGGTCGTCTTGGGTGCCTCTTGGGCCGTCTTGGGCGCCTCCTGGGCCGTCCTGGGGCCGCTGGGGCGTCTTGGGACCGTCTGGGGGCCCTCCTGGCCCGTCTTGGGGCTCTCTTGGGGTCCTCTTCGGCCGTCTTGGAGCGGTCGGGGGGGCTTCTTGGGCCGTCTTGGAGCGTCGGGAAGCCGACGAGGCGAGGAGGCCGAAAACATCGAAAAACACAGTAGAAATCGACGATTTCTGTCGCTCGGGGCCCTCTTGGGAGGCCTCTTGGGAGGCCTCTTCGGGCGTCTTGGACGCCTCTTGGGCCGCCTGGGGCGAATCTCGGGCGTCTTGGGCCCATCTTTAAGCGTGCCGGGGCTCTCCGGGGCCGTCTTGGGGGAATCTGGAGCCCTCTCGACATGTCCTGGGGCCTGCCTGGGCGGCCCGGGGCGGCCCGGGGCCAGCCCGGGGCGGTTTTGAGACATTTGAGCCTGCTCACCCTTCCCGCACGCACGTGCCCCTGCAATGTAGTAGAGACTAGGGCAGACCTGTGGACTCCGTCCACGACATCAGCTCGACGTGGCGAGGGGTCTCTGGGCAAGCGCGGGGGGGTGCGGCTGCAGGGCCGAAAGGCAATCATGATGGCGTCGGGCTCCAGCTTGGCTTCCTCCCCCTCCTCCTCCTCCTCCTCCTCCTCCTCCGCATCCTCCTCCTCCTCCTCTTCCACCTTCTTCTCCTCTTTCGCTGGATTCTCCATGCCCTCGGTCGGCAATCGGCGATCCTACGACGACTCTCCCCAACAGAGAAACATCGAAGGCCCTCGGAGCGTCCAACATTGTTCTTTTGTGCCTTCGATATGCCGGTCGCCTCTCGTCCGCTCCCCCCCTCCTGGAAGCAATTCTGAGGCCACTTAGGGCTTCGTGGGGGCCGTTTGGGGATCTCTTGGGGCGTTTTTGCCTGCGATATGCCTGTCGCCTCTCGTCCGCTCCCCCGCTCCTGGAGGGAATTCTGAAGCCACTGAAGGCTTCGTGGGGGCCGTTTCGGAGCCTCTTCGGCCTTCTTTTGGGCCTCCCGGGGGGGCTCTTAGGGCCCTCTCGGGCCGTCTTGGGTGCCTCTTGGGCCGTCTTGGGGCCGTCTGAGGCCCGCCTCGGCGCCTCTTGGGCTGTCTTGGGCCGTCTTGGGCCGCTCCTGGGGCCGTCTTGGGTGCCTCTTGGGCCGTCTTGGGCGCCTCCTGGGCCGTCCTGGGGCCGTCCTGGGGCGTCTTGGGACCGTCTTGGGGCCCTCCTGGCCCGTCTTGGGGCTCTCTTGGGGTCCTCTTCGGCCGTCTTGGAGCGGTCGGGGGGACTTCTTGGGCCGTCTTGGAGCGTCGGGAAGCCGAAGAGGCGAGGAGGCCGAAAACATCGAAAAACACAATAGAAATCGACGATTTCTGTCGCTCGGGGCCCTCTTGGGAGGCCTCTTGGGAGGCCTCTTCGGGCGTCTTGGACGCCTCTTGGGCCGTCTGGGGCGAATCTCGGGCGTCTTGGGCCCATCTTTAAGCGTGCCGGGGCTCTCCGGGGCCGTCTTGGGGGCTTCTGGGGGCCCTCTCGACATGTCTTGGGGCCTCCCTGGGCGGCCCGGGGCGAGCCCGGGGCGGTTTCGGTGCATTGGGGCCTGCGCCCTTCTGGCACGCACTGGGCCCTGCAATGTAGTAGAGATGACGTTGGGTTCCAGCTTCACCTCCCACATCCCGCTCAGCAGCGCCAGCGCCTGCTGCCACTGCCGGCCCTTCCCGCACGCGCTGATCCCAGCGCTGCAGCTGATGACGCCGGGCTCCAGCTTCGCCTTCCACATTTCATTGAGCACTGACAACGCGTGTTGCCATTGCCCGCCTTTACTGCATGCGCTGACAGTCGCAACGTAGTGGCTTGGGACGAGTTGCACACCCAATTGGATTCCTTCGCGGAGCATCCGCAGTGCGGCGCTCCATTGTTTTGTCAGGCCGCAGTTCTTGATCGACGCTTCGAGGGACATAACGACTTCTTGAGACTATCCAGAACGACATGGCACCTGGGCTTGAGCCAAGCCGGCCCAGGGAGCAGGCCGCAGCACAGCGCGCGCCCGATGCCTTCAAACAGGTCGGCGGCGACGACGGGGACAACAGGAAAGCCGGTGGAAAGAGGTCCTGCGCATGGCAGAGGAGACCCTGCCGCTCTGCTGCGCTCTGAGCTCGCGTCCTTCGAATGTGCGGGAGTAGTGCTCACCGACTTCGATAACCTCATCATCCAGCGGGACGCCCACGTCGCGGCGACCAAGGCGGCGGCACAAGCTGTTGCGGCCAATGCTCCAGCGGTTGCTCCGGCTGCTGTCGCACAACCTCAACTTGTTGAACCTGCCCCCGCTGCCCAACCCGCGCAGCCTGACGCAGGTATGTTGGACCTCTCGTTCGAGGCCCTCGACGGCGAGTGTATCGACGACCTGCTCGGGCGTGGGCCTGAGGCAGGAGTCCAACCTGACGCAGGAGACGGAAGAGGCGACGGAACTGCGGAGGCTCCCAGCCACTCCCGAGGCATCACGCGCTCGGCCTTCCAGGCGGCCTTGCAGAAGGCGCTCGAGAGCGCCAACAAACAGAAAAAGGAGGAGCGAGGGTAGCACCCCTGGCGCGCCCTGTAAACCCAAGAATTAGGTCCTGCGTGCCCGAAATTATGTAACCTGCTATGTTGCCGAGTGCTCGGGGCGTGACATTTTCCCCTCCTCCATTCATGCCTCTTGTGACACGCTCGCAGTTCAGGGGACGCACGCTGTAGATGTAGAGCCCCAGGGAGCTACCCTGAGAACCCTTGGGTGCCATGCCAGCGCTTCCTGGCTGTGCCCACAGGGCGCGGAGGATCCTCTGGAGGTCTGGCTCAACTACGTCGATTTGTCAGGAGCGGTTGGCATCTCCGACGTTTTGGAACCTGGCACAGCTGGTTTCGAACACCCTGGAAGTCTCCTTTCTGGAGGCGCCGTCGTGGCCAGCGTCTGTCCTGATCACAACATCGGTCTGGCCCCGCAGAACTGAGGCACTCTTGACAGGATTGGCGAGCGCGGAAGTCTGCCGGCCTGCCGTTCGCCGGGGATCTACCGACCCGGGACAATTCAGACCCGGATCTTGCAGGATCCTGCGCCCGAGCCCGGGTCAGTGCAACCCTGGCTCTGCAGGATCCTGCAATATCCGTCGTTCCGACTGGCCCCCGTTTGCATTGAACCCTGTCTCTTCTGCCCCGAGCTTGTACCCGGAGGAGAAGAATGAGGAGGAGGAAGAGGAGGAGAAGGAGGAGGAGGAGAAGGAGGAGGGAGAACGCGTCAAGCTAGCGATTCACGCCTGGGCAACATCAAAAGAAGGAGGACGAGAAGGAAGAGGATGAGGAGGAGGAAGAGAAGGAGGGAGACCGCGTCAAGCTTGCGATCCACGTCTGGGCAGCGTCAAAAAAAAAAAAAAGGAGGAGGAGCAGGAGGAGGAGGAGGAGGGAGGAGGAGGAGGAGGAGGAGTAACGCATCAAGCTAGTGATTCACGTCTGGGCCACGTCAGAAGAAGGAGGAGCGAACGAAACGAATCGGTCCCGTTCGGGGCGGCTGCCGCGGGCGGGCGGCGGCCTGGCGACTCAGGTCGCAGTCGTAGTTGTTGTAGGTGGAGTACTTGGAGGCGTAGGAGTCAGAGGGCTCGCACTCGCTGGACACGCTGGAGGCGCACTCGTAGGAGACGCCATCCAGCCCAGAATGCGACCAGTCGGACTCGGAGTCGGACTCGTAGCCGAGGCACTTGGCGAAGTCGTACATGTCGTCTACCGTGTTACAATTGCACGCATCAGTCACTCCGAGCATGTCCACCATGCATGCCGCTCTGGAGGAGCCACTGCTGGTCGTCGGTCAGCTTCGAGCCAGGGTCGGCGGAGGGCTTCGTCACGGCATCAGCCATCTCATCGGAAAGCTCGCTTGGTGGCGGTGCTTGACCAGGCCAATCAACGCACTCTGCAGCGTCTGAACTCCATATCAGGTCGAGCACGAAAAACGGGAAGTCGTTCAATGAGTCGCCGGCAGACGGGACGATCGTACCGAGCTCGATCATCTGGCTGGGAATGTTCTGCACGTCGGCGGAGCCCACGAACTCGCTGATCATCGTCTGCTTGACGGTGTTGAGGGAGGAGAGCTCTTGCAGGTGTCTTTCCTGGCGTGCTAGCAGTGTCTGCAGCTGGCTCTCGACAGTGAGCCACTTGGACTTGGGCGAGTCGATGAGGGAGCACATGCGTTGCACGTCGAAGGGGGCGGGCGCGCTCGACAACGCGGCGTCGGTGTCCACAGGCGCAGCAGGGGTAGGTTCGAGGAGCAGATTGGCATTCGTGTGGATCAGGTCGGACTCGCCGTTGGCGGTGATCTGGTCCCTGACGTAGGCGATCTGGTGGTCGGCGGTGGTAGAATTCTCGTCCTTGGCGGCGAGCTGGTCGCGGGCGTTGTCGCTCTGGAAGTCGGCGGTGGAGGCAGTCGCGGACTTGTGGATGATGGCCATGGCGTCGTTCATCAGCGAGGCCTGCTTGGCGCCCAGCTGATCCGCGATGGCGGCGAACTGGTGCTCGGCCGCGGAGATGACGTCGGCCAATTCCTGCTTGAACTTGGAGTTTTGGTTCTGGACTTTCTTAAGGAGGCAGTCGATAGCGCGTTGGTCATCTCGCCGTAGTTTGCCACTCTCGGCAAGCGCGTGCTCCAGCGTCTCGAGCTTCACCCGCGACGCGGTCATGGAGGAAGCCGAATGAAGCGCAGCATCATCGCGTGGGCGACCATCGCCAGATATCAGCTCTGACAAGGAGACGGCGCCCAGGGAACTGACCGTGTCAGTGTTCACTCTCTGGTAGGCCGGCGGTGCGCCAGAGGCCGACGAGGCGGCCGCCGGCGGGGCAGCAGGCGCATTTGCACGCGCTTCCTGTAGGCGAAGACCAGCTTGATGCTTGGCTCGATTGGCATCGCGATGACTTCGGAGACGCTGACGGTGAAGCTCGGGGGGCAATTCCGCGCCAGCAACAGCTCCGCGAGCGTAATGATGAGGAGCAGGCGCATGACGATCACCGATGGCGTGAAGCCCCATGGAGTGAATCGCCTTCGCCGCCGGTTGCTTCAGGAGCAGTTGGGCGGCACGTAGTCCAGGGCCAGGAAGGGGCGGGGGATAGACGCGCTCCTCCGCCCGAGCATGGCGCGCCGCGCGGCTAGCCAAGGAGCGACGTCCAGGCGTGAGATATGAAGGGGGGAGGCGCCAGCGCTCGATGGCGCGCGTTCGCAGCGCACTACCGATGGGTCATCGGTGGCTTGAGCCAACATGGCCTGAGCCAAAATGGCTACGAAACGTCAAAAGAAGGAGGGGGAGGAGGGGGGGGAGGAGGAGGAGGAGGAGGAGGAGGAGGGGGAGGAGGAGGATTGCGTAGAGACTTCAACCTCGAGCCCAGCGTTTTAGAGTGCAGCGGGTGGCCTGCTGCACTCGATGTGCGGAGGTGACCTCCGCCGCTGGGGGGCGCCTGCTGGCCTGCGTGCCGCGTGCTGGACTGCTCCGTGGTGGGCCGCGGGCTGGCCGTCGGCGCGCGCGCGCGCTGTGTGGCGCGGTTGCCGCGCCGCGCGAACCCGCCGAATTGACCCTTCAACGTAAAAGGCAACCTGCTAGAGCTCGCCTAGCTTGGACAAGGGAACAACGACGCCATCCCACCCACGGCCCTGCGGGGCTCAGCGCGTACCAGGAAATCCGGCGCGGGTTTTTGCGCGGCGCGAGCCGCGACCCACAATGGACGGCAGCGCAACGTGGAGGGTCATAGGTGGGGTGGTGTCGGTTGGTTGTTTGTCGACAGCTCATGTGCCTATGGGAAATACGAATTCCCCTGCAGGTGCCGCGCGGGCCCCGCAGGTCTCCTGATGAGCAGCGCTGGAGCGATGCCAGGCAAGCTGTCGAGATGCAGACGGTTGCGGAGAGCGAAATAGTTGATCATTGCCCTTTTCTTCACCCTGCTTGTCCTCTCTTTGTTTCTCCGTCTCACCCCGTCGTATGCGGTGCTACCAGAGTGCGAATCGGCGCGGTCTTAGGAGGAGACTGTCGATGCAAGATTGGCCGGAATTGTCAAATCTCGGCAGGACCTTCTGGAGAGCTTCCGAGCACGCGTTGTAGGAAGCGCTCTGTAAAGGGCCTGCCGCTGGGATGAATTCGTTTCGACCGCCGAGCCCGACCTGCTCGATGTCTGCCAGTTCGGTCCTGCCCCGGCTACTGGATTCCCCCCGGGCGTTCTGGCAGGGTGGAGTTCCGATGCGCCACCCCCCGCGCGCCCTGGGCCTCCCGCCTCCCCTGGGATTAGGTCGGGCATGCCCCCCCTACAGGCAGATTTTGGACGAACAATTTAAATGCTCAAACACATATCCAAATATAGTTCAAACAAATACCAGAAACATCGCCCCCAAACTATTATTTGAATATTCCTCCTGTCCCGTGAATTTTCGAAGTCGCTGGGCGTTGCCGAGGCCCAGCATTGTGTGCGCGCCGCGCGCAAGCTTCACGGTTCTTCTCAGGACAGCCGCGGCTGGGCTGGCCAGTGCAGCGCGACTCGATCACCTCATGCATCCGGCTATGTGCTTCTCACTGGCCTGTGCGCTTGCTGAGCCTGGTGATGACCAGACGCAAGGCAGTCAGCTTCGCACCAAACGGCGGGATTGGAGCAGTGGGTCAAGTCGCACTCAGTCAACATCTCTGCTGCGCTTTTCGCATGCATCAATCTGTCTGATGCGTGGCAGCCTTCCTCGCGTTGCAGCATGGGCCTGCCACCTCCTATGCCGGAGCCGGAGCTGCTGGAGGTTGAATGGGGCACGTGGTGGCATGTCACCGGCACTAGCCCTCCCATCCCTTGACCTGGCGATCTCGGAGAAAGGCCCCCTCCCCACACCCTGAAGCACCTCGAGAAAGTCCTCAAAACCTTTCCCGAGGAGACGGGGAGTGGGTGCCACCAGCTGCCGCCCAAGCACATTCAAGACTCCCCGGTGCAAGCCCTCGACCTGCTCTGCAAGCTGGTCTCCGCGATAGAGCGCCAGGTCGAGTGGCTGCCGATGACCATCCGCGTTGCTTATATCCTCACGGGGCTCGGAGGAGTCAGGTCTCCCAGCTTTTTGTATTGTTTATGTCGGGTGCGTTCTCGGCGTAGACGCGGCATGTTGAGTCGATGACAGCGGGCTACTGAGCGATCTTTCTGGTGGGCTGTTCGGGGTAGGTCGGCTGGGCTTCCGGCTTGGCTTTGGGCTGGATGGGCTGACTGCCGTGCCGACGCGAGTCGCGACTCGGCTGCGCTTCTCGCCGACTTGAAGAAACCTTCGAACTGTTTCGTCATGGGCACTTCGACGCCGCTGCTATCAGAGCGAATTCCCCCCTTTGGCCGCTGAAGCGCTTGGTGCTGGCTTACAAGGCGCCGCGACTGCTGGGGCTGCAGGGCCCCTGCAGTCGGGGGCCGCCGGTCGGCCGAGCGATCTTGCAGCGGCCGCTTGTTCGCGCTTGTCTGCTGCAACTCGTGTTGATCCGGCCCTTGGATGCTGTGCG